AAAAAATCAACTATCTTACCAAACACAAATTTTAGCCTATGAAAATAGTCAAAAATTAAAATAACCTATTAAAATAACCAACTTCTCGAACAAGGCCACTGTAGCACTTCACTAGAAATGCTGTAAATACAAAAACTTTCTCTCTAGTCAATTCCACCCCATATTTCTGTGAGGAAAAAACTTTCTCTCAATAGAAAAACAACTAATCAAGTCCTATCCTACTTTCGTTTCTTTTACAAAGTAACCAAACATAATGCTTCACTTTAGTTTCTTTTATAAAGTAGAAACCACCAGTCTATCTTTCTAGCTAGTTTTCCTTGTGATATATAAAGCTATCAATCAAATTTCAATAAACTTTCATGTTTTTAAAACAGCAAAGGTGGGATTCCGAAAAAAAAAAAAAAATTGTCAAAAAATTTAACTTGAATTATATTAGTACTGTTTGATGTAACTGTTAAAACAGATTATAAATTATAACTTAACAGATTATAGATTATGATTTTAATCAGAAGCTGTTAATCTGTTTGGTATAGCTGTTGGATTATAGATTTAAGTTACTGTGTAATGTTTGTTAAATAAGCTGTGAACTAAAATTTTCAATTAATTTTTATTTTTTATTATTTACTATTTGTCTATATTTTTGATAAAAAATAATAACAATATTTTATAGTCCATTTGGGTCTTTTTCTATTTTTAAAAAAATAAAAAATAAAAAAATCTAAGAGTATAACCGTGAATTAACATGTCCACAGCAGAAGCTGATAATCAGAAGTAAGGGGTGAGCAGCTTCTCAGAATCAGTTTTTTTGACTTAAAATAAGTTGGTAGAATCAGAAGCTGTTTGAAATAAGTTTAATCAAACAGTACAAAATAACTTTTTAAAAGCAAAAAGTCATAAGCTGGCTTAAAAAAGCCCCAACAAACACCCCCAATAAAAACAACTTTAACGTGATCAGCGTGACTTAAAATTTCTATTTATTTTTTGTAATAAACTACTTTATCACTTTGTAATATATGTATATACATATATATATGTTCTATTTTTTTGGAAATTGAACATATTTTGTAATTTGTTAAAACACTATTGGTTGTACTATATATACCAATTAATGTACTAACTATATAACAATAATAGTTATGACATTATTATTGACTCTACTCATTAACTATATATCACATTTTAAATGAGATCTGTCAACAGTGTTTGAATAATGCTATATACACCAATTAGTATATAGATCTAATTTACAATGGAAGACTCACAATTTTAACCACTCACAAAATGTATTTTGACTCCTCAAACTCAATTACAGTATAATTCAATCAACAAACTTAGTTTGATTGGTCAGAATTCCAACACCTCATTAAGAGATTAGCGATTTAAATCTCCTCAATTGAGTGTAGGTCTTATTTCTCGCGTATTTATTGGAATTTTTATTCCCATTTTGATAGCTTTTTGTACAATTTATATGATATATTTTATTTTTTTCATTATGATTGTAATTCATTAAATCTTATTGTAATATTATACAATCAAATAAAAATTAAAATATAGCACGAATCTCTATTTTCAATTGAATTGGACTTTAGAAATTGAGTATAATTCAAGTCACTGTATTTTTACAATTTTTTAAGAGGGTTTCAAGTTCAAGTTTATTGATAAACATCAAATGCCTATTGAGCTAAAAAAATTGGATTGGATCATGCAATTGGAATTGTGAGACTTGCTACAAATTTCACTTCAATAATTTAAAGTATTTTTTTGTGAGTTTTTAGATACATCATTATAATAAAAAGAAATGGATTGAAAAAATAAATAAATTGATTATATTTATATTATCAAATTAATAAAAACCAGAAAAAAAATAAATAAAATCACTCAAATTCGATTGACAGTACAGCTACACCAATGAGCTCACTTTGTTTGGAAATAGTGATTTGGTGAGAAATAATAAGAAATGAAAAGAAAAAGTTATTTTTTTTTTTATATTTGATTTATATAATGGGTGAGAATATTGACAAATTATAAAAAAAAATAGTGAGAAATAGAACTTTCTTATTTTATAAGTTTCATTTGTCGGTTACATCTCCTGAGATTTGCTTAAAATACAGATTGTTCCCTGTGGTTGGAAAAATTACAAATATCTTCTTATTAGAATTTTTTATTTAACAGAATTAACTAAAAAAATGAAATTCATCATTGCTCTCTTATACAATAATAAAATTATCTAAATTATTAATTGAAACATATTTTTAACATCATTAAAAACTATTAATTGACTTAATGATTTGTATTTTTACAATTTTTTAAGAGGGTTTCAAGTTCAAGTTTATTGATAAACATCAAATGCCTATTGAGCTAAAAAAATTGGATTGGATCATGCAATTGGAATTGTAAGACTTGCTACAAATTTCACTTCAATAATTTAAAGTATTTTTTGTGAATTTTTAGATACATCATTATAATAAAAAGAAATGGATTGAAAAAATAAATAAATTGATTATATTTATATTATCAAATTAATAAAAACCAGAAAAAATAAAAAATAAAATCACTCAAATTCGATTGACAGTACAGCTACACCAATGAGCTCACTTTGTTTGGAAATAGTGATTTGGTGAGAAATAATAAGAAATGAAAAGAAAAAGTTATTTTTTTTATATTTGATTTATATAATGGGTGAGAATATTGACAAATTATAAAAAAAATAGTGAGAAATAGAACTTTCTTATTTTATAAGTTTCATTTGTCGGCTACATCTCCTGAGATTTGTTTAAAATACAGATTGTCCCATGTGGTTGGAAAAATTACAAATATCTTCTTATTAGAATTTTTTATTTAACAGAATTAAACTAAAAAATGAAATTCATCATTGCTCTCTTATACAATAATAAAATTATCTAAATTATTAATTGAAACGTATTTTTAACATCATTAAAAACTATTAATTGACTTAATGATTTATTAATAAAATATGCGATTTGTTATGAAATTAGAAATCTCAGGGGGTGGAATGTAATTTGCAAAATCACAGGGGACGATTCGTATTTTAATCAAATCTTAGGGGTGTATTTATAATTTACCCAATCTAAAAGGTATTTTTTTTTCCTTTTCAAAATGTTTTTCAAATATTTTTTCAATCTGTCTAATTCAATAAAAACCCAAAAGCCTAACATATTTTGAAATTTAAAAAAAAAAAAAAATTCACTAAAAACAAAGACAAATCAATAAAAAATTCACTAACAAAATAAACCCCAAACACTTTACTAATATAATTTTCATAATACTAATATTATCTATTAAAATAGAGTTTTTTTTTTATTTTTTATTATTTATTATTATTATTTTTTTTTGACCTTACATCCGAACAGACCGTAGGACATCAATATAAGCCTCCGGGTTACACAAAAAAATTTATAAATTATTGAGGTGGAAAATTTTGACTCTTGAAACTATAAAAATAAATTTTTAAAATTATTGAAAAGTATTATTTTATTTTTTAAATTATAAAAGCGTACATATAGATTTCATAAACTACAAAAATATATGAATTGAATCCCCTAACAGAAAGGACAAAGTAAAGCACATTAATAGTTTAAAAAATTTATTTATAGATTTAAAAGTAAAATAATGTCTCTTAATAATTTAAGAGCTAAAATAATAGTTCTTAGTCTCGGGTAAAACGGCTAACATAATACTTCTTAGGCTTGGTTTGGGAAGTGAGTTAGCTTTTTGAGTTTTTGGCTTATTCAGCTATTTTAGCTTGAGGCTAAAAAGCTTGGTTTAGGAAGGACTTTTGATTTTTTTGAATTTTTTGTGAGAGAAAAAATATAATGATTATGAATTGAATGTGTTGTTTTGGTCTTATTGGACTAAAAAACTTATTTTATTTTTTTGTGACTATTTTAGCCAAAAAAAACCTCCAAACCCACTTCCCAAACAGGCACGTCTCTGGTTAAATAATGGTAAGCCCTTTGTGTTCAAACTAGCTTATAAAAAAAGGGAGGGAAAAAATAGCAAAATAATTCTCAGCTTTGATAGCCTTCATTTCAGTGTACATGGCCTTCTGGTTTTGCCAAGGTATTCCCATCTTCATACCCCTCCAAAATACTGCATGAATTTCTCTTTTGTCTGTGTTTTGTTCTATTCTGTTTTACAATTCTCACTTTCCTTATTTCCATTTCAATGATTGTTGTAGAAAACCTATTTGTTCTATTCTAAGTTCTACATTTTGCATTGCACTGTCCACAAAAAATCCAGAGAGAGAGAGAGACATAGACAGAGAGAAAGAGAGACAGAGAATGGTTTTGAACTTTGTTGTTCCCCTTGTGATGAATACAGGCATATTTTATTCACATTTCACCTACTTTTTTCATTTCCTTTTCCAAATCCCTCCTCAAATCCCTCAACCAAACACAACATAAGAACCTCAAAAAGCAAGTCCAAAACCTAGATAATAAAAGGGTTGGAACATAACTATTAGTTGATGCAGTAAAATGAAACAGAGAAATTATTGGACTTGATGTTGACCGGTGGTTGATAACCATCGATGAACTCGTTGAAGAGGTCAAGAAATTCCTTGATGATGAAGTTAAAGCAAACAAAGGGTGTTTTAATGGGTGGTGTCCGAATTTGAAGTCCCGATACTCATTGAGTAGGAAAGCTAATAAGAAGATTAAAGTTATAGTAGGGCTATGTGGAGAAGGAAATTTCTCCAGAGTGTCCTACCCTGCCCCTCTGATAGCAATAGCATCCACATCCGTTGGAGGTTTTAAGGGTTTTGAATCTAGAAGATCAATTATGAATGAAGTTATGGAGGCATTAACAGATGACAGTGTCGATATGATTGGGATATCTGGGATGAGAGGGGTTGGTAAGATGACATTGGTGAAAGAAGTTGCCAAGAAAACTGCAGAAAATAAATTGTTTGATGAGTTGTATTTGTTGTAGTATCGCAAAACCCATCCTTGGTTAAGATTCAAGGTGAGATAACTGAAGTGATGGGTTTAAAATTATTTGGGGAAAACAATTTACTTGCCCGAGCCAAGGAGCTATCTACAAGAATATTGACTAATAAGAGAGTCCTTGTAATACTAGATGATGTTTGTGACAGACTTGAACTGAATGAAATTGGAATTCCATTTGGAGATGATCACAAGGGTTACAAAATTGTGTTGACTTCAAGAAGTGAAGATGTATGCAACCACATGGGCACTCATGAGAAAATTACAGTTCAAGTCTTACCTGAAGAAGAATCATCGAATCTCTTCAAGCAGATGGCTGGAATTTGCAATGACACAAGTCACACAACGGATCTACATTCCACACAGAAGGCTGTTGCAAAGGAATGTGGAGGTATGTCGATTGCGATTGTTACGGTTGGGTGGGCACTCAATGGTAGAGAGAAGCCTTCATGGGATTATGCTTTTACACAATTACAAAAGTCTAATGGCAAAAACATGAAGGGAGTAGATGGAAATTTTTTTTCAATCTTTGGAGTTGAGTTTCAATTACTTAGAAAGTGAGGAAACCAAAAACTGTTTTTTTCTTTGTTCCTTGTTTCCTGAATATTCTAGTATTCCAATTGAAGATCTTGTTAGATATGGGATTGGGCTCGAGTTGTTTGAGGGTGTTGGTACTGTGGGCGAAGCGAGAAACAAAGTACATGCCTTTGTTGATGATTGCAAAAAAAGCTATTTATTAATGGATTTTGAAAGATATAACGTAAGACAAGAGTGTGTTGAAAAGCAGGATGATGTAATATCAATAAGTGGCTTGGAATTCAAAATATCATGGGATGAACTACTTGACTCTCTTAGATCAATTGAAGTCAATGACGAAAGAAACGAGTGTGTTAAAATGCATGATGTAATACGTGACGTCGCTATATCAATTGCATCCAGGGAGGAACATTCATATATGGTAAGATGTGATGAGGCAGTGCAAGATTGGCCAGAGAAAGATCGACAAAGAAATTACACTGTAATTTCATTGAGATGCACTGGTATGCACAGCCTGCCTCATTATTTGGAACTTCCAAATCTCCAGCTTTTACGGCTAGAGTACCACCATGAATTACCAGAAACGCCAGATTGTTTTTACCAAGGGATGCAGGAGCTCATGCTTGACCAATCTTCGAACCTTGTCAATATATCATTGTAAACTGAGTGGTGACATATCCATAATTGGAGCTTTAAAGAATCTGGAAATTCTCTGTCATCATTGCCGTCAACGTCGATGTCTCCGATCATCAAGCTAGCGGCCTCGCCACCGTCTGAGAGCTACATACTACCACAAATCTGCCATCAATCACTCTCTACTTTCATCCGTATCGATCTCTCTCTATTTCTTCTCTCTAGATTTGTCGTCGATCCACACCGATCTGCCGTCGTCATAACCAAATCTAAATGGCCTTCAGCTCGTATACTTGTTGATCTGTTTTTTTTTTTCTTTTGGTAATTATTGATCTGTTCTAGTTCTTATTCTTCTTCTTGATGATGAATGTTGTTGTTGATGGTGAAACAGATCTGCAATAGCATTGAACAGATTTGTAATGATTCAGATCTGCATAGATTTGCTGTCATTTGGGTTTTTTTTTAGCTTTGATTTTATTCAATGAGCTCTTCTTCACTAAAATTGGAATAAATCAAAAACTGGGTTGCAGAGATCATGTTGGATGTGGACTGGAGACAGACAATCGACCAAAATGAGGACCAAATACTTGGGTTGTGGATTTTTCAAGGTCGGGGAAACCTAGTCCCCATTAGGGGGCAGGGTTAGGGTAGGGGGATGATGGATTCCCCATTGGGGATCAGGGGCGGGAACAAGAAATTTTATACCTTTGGGATCGGGGACGGGGATGGGCAGTATAATCCTCAGCCTTGCCACGGCCCGTTGCCATTCCTATATATATATATATATAATAGTTGAAAAAAGTTCGTCCAAGGCGCAGACTATTATTATGGTATATTTGAATTTCAAAAATACAAAAAATATTTCTCTCACAAAAATAGAATAAATGATTAAATATATGATAGAATTATCGAGAGAATCAAAAAAGATAAACGAGATAAATTATATCATGAAAGAAAATTAAATAAAATGTAATCATAATCACTCTATTTCATTTTAAATTTTCAAAAACAATTTTTGATTTTTTAAAATAGAATTTTTTGTTTCTAGTAATTTTTTAAAAATATTTTAGTCATTTTTTATTTCTAGATACACACTTAAAAGTTTTTTTTTTTTTTTAAAAAAAACAAAATAAAAGAAGAAGTAAGCAAAAAAAAAAAAAATCTACTATTTTTAATTTTTTTTTTAATTCTAAGCTTTTTTGATTTTTTTTTAAAATTTTGATTTTGTTTCTTGGAGTAGAGTTTAGAATTTTATTTTTTTTAATTTAAATAAAATTCACTAAAAATGAAAATAAGCTAATTAAAAAAATTATCAAAAATGCAAACCGATAAGATTGCCAAAGTTTGCCCGTGGAAAAGAAAAAAAAAACAAATAGATAAACGAGGATAAATTATAAATACACTCTTGGCATTTGTTTAAAATATAAATTGTCTCTTATAGTTTGAAAAATTATAAATACACCTTCATCAAAAAAAATTATTTAACAAAATTAATCGTAAAAATAAATTTTTTAACTATTCTCCTGCATAATAATAAAATTACTTAAATTATTAATTGAAATAAAGTTCTAACATTATTAAACACTGTTAATTGATTTAATAATTTGTTAATAAAATGAGCTATTTGTCAAATGTTCAGAATTAAAATTATGAATAAAAATAAATTATTCAAATATATTCCGTTCAATTATTTATGTCTGAACAACTAGTTTATGTTCATAAATTTATATTCGATCTATGGGGACATATTTTGTGAATGGCAGTACATGGCCGAGGTGACACCGACGTGTCAGCTGGAGTGCCACGTGGCTTGGTTATGTGTCGGGATGATCTCAGCTAGGCCGAGGTTATCTATGGAGATATAGGAATCCGAGATGAGCAGATAAAGGACAAAAGTCCTAGCATGGGGGAAGACCTCAGTTTGGATATGGATAAAGCTCTTAGGGAGTTTATCTCTATCTAACTGGGCGTCCAGGATAGGCATTGAGCCTAAGTCCATTGAAGCTGGGCTTCTACAAGGATCAGGTTAGTGCTGGCTATAAAAGAAAGACACCTCTGTGGATCTAAGGTAGGCTTTTTTATGCTCTGTCTAGTGAGTTAAGCACTATTAGTTATCTTTGAGAGATATTTTACTGACTTGACCATCAGAGTGCCCCTGGGTAGATGAACTACCATTGAATTCTTATCTTTCTATGATAGGTCGTTCGAGCTTAATCTATTATGCCGATGCTCACTAGCTGAGTTTCCCTGTTTGGTTGTGTGATCAAAAATTAACACCCATAATTTGGCGCCGTTTGTAGGAACGTAAGGAGAACAGATGGCCAACGACGGGCAGAAAGAGAAGATTAGGGACAACATCCCTAGTGGAAGTGGTAAGCACGTCGATCCTAACGTAGAGAAGGAAAACTATAATACAAAACCTTAGGATCAGAATTTCAGGGAGAAGGATGTCGGCTAAGAGGGTGACGCACCAAAGAAACCGGGCCGAGACGAGTATTACAATAAAAGCGACCTCCAGGTATGGAAAAACAAATGCCTGAGGAGGGACGACGAGATGAAGGGAATAACAAACAAGTTGGCAGACTTACAATCGGTTGTTAACTTCTTGATGTAGAACAACGTCATGTAACCACCATTTTCATTGAAAGACACGCCGATTCCAGCAGCCAAGAATGACGCCCATTAAAGGGGGCAGAAAGCAATTCCAGTAGTCCCTCAGCATAATAAGGAGAGGAAACGCTCACATCAGCCTTCACGGGATGCCAGGCGAGCAGAATCAGTAAGAGGGGAGTCCAAGAGGAGACCTTGAACCAAAGGAACTTATGTCAAGGAACATCGGCCTGCTCAGGGGAAGGAGCTTTGTTTTGACACGGGGAACAAAGAGAAGTCCAAAAGGACACACAACGACACCGGAAGTAGCGCACCAAAAAGGCTGAAGTCTGTTGGCAGCCAAGCTCCTGGTCAGACAAAAGAGGATTTAAGGGACTACCTCCAGTAGAAGAGGCAGAATGCCGAAGTAACATCACCAGTCAAGCCGAAGACGCCCTTCTTTATGGAGTTGGACAAGTTTGAGGCACCAAAAAGGTTCCATACGTCAAGGCTCCAGACATATGATGATAAGTCCAATCCGAACTTTCACTTCAGCTTGTACCTAAATTCTATGGCGCTGTATACCGGGAATGAACCTTTGCTATGCAAGGTATTCCCCTCATCCGTTGGGGAAATCGCATCAGACTGGTTTCACAAGTTACCGAAAAGAACTATGAAAAGTTGAGAAGGCCTGACCAAGATGTTCGTGGCCAGGTTCGTCACAAACAAGTTGCAGCCATTAAAGGTGGACTCCCTGATGGCTTTAAAGATTGGCAAGGGTGAAAGCCTTAGGGCTTTTGCAAAAAGGTATTACGAGGTGTTCAACCGAATACCAAGATGTAACCAGGAGTTGGCGGTCGTGTCTTTAAGAATAGTCTGGAGGATGATTGCATGCTACAGAAGTCATTAACAAAGACTCTGCCAAAGAGTATGGACGAGCTCATTGCAAGGATCGAGAAATATGCCAGACCAAAAGAAGATATGCCGGGAACAAAGGCGCCGAAGTAGGAGAAGAGAAACGGCTCGCCGAAGCGTGGCTGAGGTAACACTGGATTTAATAGGCAAGAAATAGGGCTGAGAGCTGCACGTGCAGTCACCACTGTGTTCTGGATCCCCATTTACAAAGTCTTGGAAAGGATCAGGAACCAACTGTATTATAGAGCACTAGAGAAGGTTCCTGGCAATTTTATGGGAAGAAGTCTTGGGACGCTGTAGACACCTCATTTTTGAATACCTTTAAGACTTGGACGTGACTGATGGTTTACTTGGTGGAGAAAGGTGTGCAGGGGAAAGGTGCAATTTCTTCGGCAAAGAGAGAGTCAAATCTGAACTTCATACCCCTGTTCTAGACCAAAACAATCTTGATCAAAAGATTTTAGTCTTAAAACCCTCCCTCTCAAAAACGTTTTTGAAATAAAGTTCCTACGATGTTCTGACGCTCGCATTTTGTTAAATGTTGCGCTTTTCGATAAACCGAGCAAGGGCAAAGTGGAAAAGAATGAAAGAGAGATGAAATCTTTGAAAAAATCTTTCAAAATACTTTACTTAGGGGTTTGAAGTTGAAGAAAAGAGGAGAAGAGGGAAGAAATCCAGTTGGGGGAGAAAATGGGCATGAACCGTTAAGAAAGAGTCGAACAGCCCTCGCCGAATCGGGCCTATTCATTGGCATACTTGGGATCAAGCTATGAGGCCACCACCGTTGGAAATACTACTTCCGAGGCTTCATTTTTCACTCAAGAATCTCCGAAATCCAATTCCGGACGGGGAAGATATAGTTGATTGAAGTAGGGTATCACTCCGGTTGGACCGAAATCTGAGCGGCTTCACCAAAAAGGGCATAACTTTTTCCACAGGAGGAATTTTAATGCAAGGTTTACGCCATTGGAAAGATAACTTCCGGGGCTTCAATTTGGACACTTGAAAGGCCACCATTGGACCTTTCTACCACCCACCGGCCACTTTTCTTTCCGGCAGTCCATTTTTTTTGTCCTGAAAGTAGCTGGCCGGCCAAAAAACCTAGCAGGCCGGCCACCTAGCTGGTGAAATGACCTTTTTGCCCTTTTTGAGCTGGCCAGCCATAATCCTTGCCCCAAGTACATTCTAGCCATGTATTTTGTTTTACACTTCACCCATGTCCGAGGGTTTGGCACTTTTGGAGGGAAACTTGACTCATTTTCCCTCCATTTCCCCCCCCCCCTTTTTCCCCCTCTTTGGCCTATATATCAGCAGCTCCAGCTGCTGGTTTAGGGTTACAAAAAATCCCCCTTAAGCTTCTTGTTGTATCTCTCTCCCTCTATACACTTCAACCCTCCAATCTCTCAAGTCCTACACCCTTTTCTTCACCACCACCTAGCACCACCCTTCCATCCTTCATTCCAGCAGCTGGAGGTGATTCTTCAAAGCTTAGGAGTGCAGCAACTCAAGCCAAGAGGCTGTCAA